GGTCCTTATTCCTTATGAGACTCCCTCCCAACCTACCAATTTCATTATTTCTCCCCTACGCACCCATGGCCCCATGATCCTACCTCAATGTCCATCCCTCTACTGATCTTCCCCCAAATACAACACAGACTGATGACGACTGCATCTGACCCGAAAACTAGCTCTCTAACATTCATTCATGATCTGGAATCTGGATGCATTATGTTCAGAGGAAGAAATGTAAAATAATAAATCATTAATTTTGATTAAATAATCTGGGCTGGGCCGTCACCCGGCCAGGCATGCCCGGGCCAGCTGAACCGGGGGGGATCACCCGGCAAAACCAGGCAGGTCAAAAAAGAGGGAAGGATCCCCCAAAAAAAGAAACTGACTTCAGGCCAGGACTGCGCTCGGCCTGAGCAGTCAGAATCCGGCCTTACCTTCCATTTCCGTGGTGGGTCACCCAGGGGTGTTTGGGCCCTTGGGGGGTATAAACTTACTATAAAGTTATTCTAAGCAGTGACTAGAGGGGTTTAAAAGGGTATATCTTACCTCATTTCTCTCATTTATTTTTATCTTAAAATCAATAAGGAATTTCGAGGGGACCCTCAGCCAAAAGTTGCTTGTACATGAGAATCGGGGGCAGCGCGAAATGTGCGCTAACGCAGCGGCGATAGCGGCGGTGGCGGCGCCCGGTCGTCGGTGGCGGCTGTGTAGGTTGTAACGTCGAGACATGGTTACGCTGATCCTGTACGTGGCGCCTACCCTGTCAGGCTCCATAGCTGTGTGAGAGCTATGGCGAGAGTGCCCTGGCGTAGCCTTGCCCTTGAGTGGATGGCGGGCGCCGCACATTCAGGATACGTCATTTTGATCGCCTCGGTCAGTAAGAAAGCATGGATGGCGGAGCGGCGCATCTGGACGCAGTGGGAGAGCGTGCGGCTGCGTTGGCAGCGCTTCGGCATGTCCAAGGGCTCGACTTAGCTATGGCGCAAGGCAGTCTGCGGTTTATACACTTCAAGTTTGTGATATTTGTTTGCAGCACTCGTCCCGATCTACAACGCGCCGTTGCGCCTTTCACGCTCGGAGAACCAAGGGTCCGTGGATTTGCACTGGATACTCCCAGGTGAAACGATTGTGTGGTAGATCGTGACGAGACGAGCAAGATATCTCATTTGTATTCATCATATGGCTGTGATGCCTTCACGACATTTATGTTCAGAGTACCAAGGATCCGTGGATTTGCGCTGGATGCTCCCCGGTGAAAATAATTATGTGGTAGATTGTGACGAGATAAGTATGGTAATCTCATTTGCATTCATCTATGGCCGAGATGCCTTCACACCATTCACGCTTAGGGCACCTAGGTTCTGTGGATTTGCGCTGGATGCTCCTCGGTGAAAACGATTATGTGGTAGATGGTGACGAGACAAGCAAGGTATCTATCTCATTTGCGTTCATTGTATGACTGTGTAATTGGGAAGAAGAATTTTGCTGCGGTTTCTGGGTGATGCTTGACTGTCTCAGACATTCACTGCGGTTTGCAATCAGATAATGAGACACACAGTACACTCTATTGAAAGGCTATTCTCCTTAGTGATGATTGAACTAGGAACTGGAAATTGCAAATCCTAGATTCCTGGGAATCCGATAGGGAGGTTGAGAGGGTAACCCTAATGTTTAGTCCTCTCCTAACTCCGCTTTGAGAATGCCCTTTTAGTTTGATATCTTGTAGATCTTTGGAAGTTGGTGTGTTGTAAGTTTGATTTTTGTTATCTTCGGAATTTTGGGTTGTTTGAATGACCTGAAGCCTTATGGGTGGCGGCGCCAACAGTGGGAGTGGGAGACTCACTAGCGGCGTTGGGAACGTTTCCCGGGGGTGATGGGTTAAATACTTCATAGATTCTCGATACTCTTAAGCGCTGGGGATGATTCTCATAGGGTAGGGCTGATATGAGAGACCCGGTGAAGAGCAAACTAGAGCTGTATCCATTGGGTGCGTGGTGGGAAACCCGCCTAGGCAACAAAGGCTCTTTAGAGCGTTTTGGATAGTGAGGCTGAGAGGGTAACCCTAACGACTAATTCTCTTTCCCAGCTTTAGTTATCGAGAGTCCATCTTCGTAGCTTGATAAATCTTGGAATTTGGACCGGCTGTTCTTAAATCGTTTATTTCCTGGAGATAATATCACTACGCCTAGTTCGAAGTTTGTACGTGTATGGTCTGAAATTTGGGATAATTTAGTTTGCCTTTGGAATAAATTTAGGGTTAAAACTGTAAAATCCTCGTCAATTGCCTTGCGCATTCTCGCGATTTGATGATTATAACTCGTAGTTCTTCGCCAAGAGTGTTTCGGTTTTAGAAACATGCCGGCGTTGTACATCTTCTGCGCTGCAAGGATATCACGTTATAGGCTGAAGGATTGGAGAGGTTTGTTATGATTAGCTCAGCCATCTTTTCTGTGCTCCAACGCTATTTTGAGGAGTTCTTTTCCTATTGAAGCTGTGTGGTCGTGGGACGCTGGACCCGGTTTCCAGCAGGTTTTTTTTCTTTGTCAACACCGGGTAGAATTGTGAGGTCCCTGGCCTCGACCACTTTGGTTTTGAAATATAAAGTGACAACTTCTCAAAAAAAAAAAAAAAAAACAAAGTTGCTTGTACTGCAATTTTAGACAACATATTACTTTCCCCAGAGTTTTTTATTTTTTTGGATTTTTTAATTTTTCTAATTTTATGCGCTGGGGCTCCCCGGGACCCTGCCCGGACCCTGCCCACCCCGGGCCGCCCGGGAGGGTACCCAGGTGACCTTCCCCCAGCCGGGCCGCCTGGGGACCAGCCTAGTAAATAATCATAAAATAATGAATTTTCGTATTTACAAAAATAATAATAGTATACAATTGGCACTTCTTCACCCTTGGGTCCCTGCTCTTGGCAGTTAATATCACATAAAAGAGTCGACAGAGGAATTGACAGGCGAGAGTTGGGCAGAACACACTCACAGTTGCACCAAATTGGGAAGTAATCCGAGTTCTTCAGGTATGGCGCCTGTCAGCAAATTGTTTCGCAGGTCGAGAGTCCGCAGCTTCCAAAGCCTGCCAAGCTCGCTGGGAATGCTCCCGGAAAAATTATTAAACGGCAGACGGCTGAAACACCAGAACATCGATACCACGTTAATCACTTATGACGCTTAAGATTCTGGATGCATTACAAACAAAACACCTGCGCAGCACCGTGTTAGCATTCAGTCACCTGCGTAGCACAGCGAACATGTTCGCACCCCTCCATGCTCGCGCGTTCGCGTGAACAGGTCGCGAACATGTTCGTGCGAACAAAAAAAAAAATATTTTGTTTTCGGTTTTTGATTTTTAACTCATGATTGGCTGAGAATTTGAACATGACTCCAAGGCAAAAGTTGCTTGTTTTATATTTTTTTCAGAATTTTTTGAGAACTTTTTTTTTTTTTTTTTAAAT